TTCTTCTTCTTGTTTCCTCATTTGACTATACTTTGTAAAAAAACTAAATATGTGTCTTCTCTCATGGCAAAGGATTTGAGGCATGAGTAGAAGGCTGCAGCGTGAACACAGTACATCGTCTATAATCGAAGTCAGTGGTATTGTATTTTGGTGTAACCACGTTTGTAATCTGATAAACAAATTCACATTCAACAAATATTATAAAATGAAGGAATACATTTTTGGTTGACATGTGATATCTCAAATTTTTGAAGTTATTTTTAAGTATTTTTATTTGAATTGCTAGTTAACATTGTTGTAAAAATGGCGGTCTTAAGATTTAGAGGCAAGTAGTTGCCAGATAGGCAAGTAGAAGCAAGTAGTTGCCAAAAAGGGTGCTTATGAAATCCATATGTGTAGCTGCAGAAAGACTGTATAGGAATGATGGTCAAGGTTACATTTAATTCATACCAGGCACATTGGTGATGTTGTGCCTTCCGGGCAGCCTGGATGATGGTTTGATTGCTAAGTCAGAAAGTATTTAAGTTTAAAATGAAAAATGCAGACAGTGGTATACACACCCTTCCTCTACACGCATGTATGCAACCACAAACACACACACAAACACACACATACACACACAAAACAACACCCTTAACCACACCTTCCACCTACCAATATCTATCTGTCTATCTATCTGTCCACAAGGATCTCAAAAAGCACGGAATTTACAAATCTAGTGCAATATCACAGTCAGCCGGCCACCAACATCGGCACCAGATTGTAATCTTGTACTTAATTGTGCTCCCACTCCTTCATAATAAAACAGCAAACTGAAGTGCTTTTCAAATAGTGTGGGAAACCAAAGGGAAATCTTTTCTACTTCCAGTAAGTAGAGAGAGCTATTAATGAGCCACGATGGCTCCACTACTGCACAGTGCATTTGCCACTTCCTTTTTCTTCTGCTCACAGAAGCTGTGATTATCGAATTATAAAGCAATAGTTTGAAAATGACTTTGGCTATACGCATTTATGTATTTTATTTCTTCTTGCCATAGGGAATTGAATGTCTGCCATTGACTTAAAGTTTCTAAGGCACTTTGAATTTCTGGATAGAAGGGATAAGATTACAAGGGAGGGTTAGGATATTAAAGAAAGGTAATTTTTTTTCCATTTATTTGATTTTTTTACATTTTAATCAAATTATTTTTAGAAACTCTACGTGTAGAATGGACATGGACCACATGGGGCGATAGAAGTAGATAGAAGTAGATTCAAAGTAGTAAGCAATTTAATAAAAATAATTCATAGCATATGAGAAGAAGGCTTTTGGAGATAGAAATTGAGTTTGAATCCTCACTCTGCCACTTATAATGTGCCATGTATTCTTCTCCAAGCTTAACAATAATCCATTTAGTTAATCTTCATAAAAATTTTTTATGAGGTGAGATAGGTGTTGTTCATATCCATATTTTATAGATGAGTAACCAGACATGGAACAAACTTGGTTCCATGCCCAAGGACACACAGACCATAAATGGCAGTTACAATTAGCTAAGTGTTCAGGTTCTAACAGTAGTATTGGTAGCCACCATCATTTGAACATTTACGTTTTTTCTAGATACTCTGGTAATACATAGTGCATAATAACAGCCTAAAAAATACTAGTTTCAAAAATTTAAATCATAAAAGCACATCACTTGTGTAGTAGAATATATATAAAAGTAAATATTTTATTTATTTCTTATTACTGTTCTTTATAACATATTTTAACTGATTCATGATTCAGCAGAATAAAGCTAACATTTCTAAACTAATTTGCTTGTGGAAGTCATTTGATCCAATTTTCAGAAGCAATTTAGATGGAGTATCTTGCTATATTATTTGCCATTATATTCTGCTAAAGGATATAGGTGATTAAAAAAAACAAAGAAATAGAAAACCAACCTATTCCATGTATCATTAGACAATGAATCATTTTGGTATACAACTGATAAAAATAGGATTTTGAATAAACATAATGAAAAGATAGAAGTATATATGCATTTCAAGTGCTATGAGAGTCCTGATAAATTATTCCAAGGTAATTTAGAACAGATGAAATGAGTACAAGCTATAAAATAACATTCTGAGAATGACTACAGAAAAGTACAAACAATTCATGTCCCCAAACACCTTGGAATTTCATTTTGCCTTAAAGAGTGCACTTGTTTGAGAGCGTACACCGCATGAGCAGTATTCCTCGGTAATAACCTCCAGATTCTGCTGATTTCAGCTTCTGGTACGGAATGTGGACATCAAGTCCAGTCACAGTATAAATATATCTTCACTGCTAACATTTGAGAGCAGCTGGAAGAAGATGGCACAGAATCAAGAAAAATAAATGAAAATGAAATCAAGAGAGAAAGGTGAGATGCAAATGGAACTTGGAGTAACACGGGGGCAAAAAAAATGAAGTGAAGAAATAATGTTTTATTTTCACATGCAAATAAAGAAGAAAAATAATATAACACATTGCAAATGGCAAAATCCAGCTATTTTGTAAGCAAGAAAAATGGTTATGTCTCTTTCCCTCTCTTCTCTTTCTCTCTCTCTTTATAAACATAGAAATAGGCGTTTGTGTGTGTGTGTGTGTCTTTATGTGTGTGTATACGTGTATGTAAGAATACAATGACACACAAATATGTGCCCTCTGCTGGGGTGAAAAATATTTACTGTCGTGATTATTTTTTAACATTTCATTCATTTCACTACCCATGAATATTCTCATAGCACATGATGCTTCTAAAATCTTACACATATTACACATACGTTTTGAAATACAGCTTATTCATGCTTCCTCAACTTTTGTGCCACTATATAAAACCCATAGTTTCTTGTATGCACTACACTCTCAAGGATAAGTTACTTTAGAAATAATGCTTTCAAAAGTTCCATTCTGAAACAAATATCTGCTCGAAGAGTTTTATTCTCTCTCCCTTTGTTTTCTGAATAGTCTGCCAAATGCACTTGAGAGGGACAAAGTTGACTAAAATAGATTTGGGAAATGAACTTGATTCACTGTTGGTAAATATCCAGCAAATTTATGAAGTTCAGCATTATAGATAGTGCATAAAATATCATACTGAATAGTTAATTGTGATAAAGAGAAATGAATGGTTGTGTGAGGCAATTGAATGTTATTTAATTTCTCTTGTCATGATAGCATTATGTGCAGTATACACATATATATACACATACGTAAATACATTGATCAATGATACACGTATGTGTGTGTGTATGTATATATATGGCAAGAGCTTTTATAGGTAAAATCAATTAGATTATTAACTGTACATCTTCCCCCCTTAGTAACACTGTAATGTTTCACAGTATCAGAGAAATATACCCTAGAGAAAACACTGCTGCTCTTCACAGAAAATTCATGAATAACATTATGCAGAAATTAATTTATGATAAATGATTTAAATATAGAACTCAGAATAGCTTATTTAAATGCCATCAGAAAAGAACACCTCACCCGCAGAAAGGAGTCGAGGGATCCATTCTCCATATATTCCACCACAATCATCACTGGTCTGCCTGCAGACGAGCAAGAAAACACACAAGGATTAGAGCAATTACAGAAATATGTGCTGCATTTAGCAGATATCCAGCTGTGGCAGCTAAATTATTTGGATTTTATTAATAGGAATTTCATTTTCCAACCTACTATAAATGTACTCATATTATACATAGGCATTTCTCTATTTCTTTATAGCATTATTTTCTTGAGTTCATAAAAGGGACAAGAATTACAATATAAATTACAAAGGAATTAAGCATTTCTTTTCCTAAAGCCCTGCAATCATTTGTTAGATTATGCCCTTTTTGTCCTCTGGTTTTTCTTTTAAAGACAATTAACAAGCTGAAATCAGGATTTAAGCAGTTACTATAGTTACCTTTACAGTTGTGGTAGAATTTCAAGGTGGTGTAATAGGTTTGGCTAACTCACATGAGAATGGGCATTTCTGAAACATTTCAAAGGCAGAATATAAAGGAGAAATTTATAAATTCTCTTTATAAGAAATTATAAGCCATCTGTCATAGTCTTATTTCAAAGGCTCTTACGCAGAACATTTTACTAGATTGATGAGTGATACAAAGTTGGTAGGGTCTGTAATAGCTGCTGATCATTTCTTTTTTGGACATAGATTTGATCAACAGAGCCATGAAGGCAGTACATAAAAACGTAAGTTCAGTCTGATTTTGTGGACTAATACAGAAGATCAGAAACTGAACATTACTTATTTCTATTTCATCATATCTATTGTTTTAGTTCCCAGTATACCCTCTATTAGGTAGGATATTTGACATAAATAACTTCCATTTATTTCAAAGAAGACAATGCATTTGTTCAGCCCAAATCCCTAAATTTAAAAGATAAACTCATTTCCGATAAAGGAGAAATAATATTCACCTGCAATAAGCATGTATGACACATTTACTTTTTACATCTACCTTTCCCACTCTTACTGAGATTTTTAGCAATTCAGTCTGCACTAGGCATAGTTTCTCTTATAAACATAAAGAAGATCTGGAAAGAAACTATGTGTACCAATGATAGAAATATTAAATCTAATTGTATTCAGGTCCCTTTTATGAAATTAAAGCCTTGTGGGTTAGAAAGGGTGACCATCACAAATTAGTACGATGTATGCAAATGCTAGATTTCACATTTGAATCTATACTTTAAAGAAAGACATGTTAAAGGTTAAATGTAGTAATAAAGCCCCAATTTATCATGCATAAAATGAGAACCCAAAGGAGGTCTCCATTTGTAGTGAATATTAATGTATATCCTACAACGTTCCTCAAAGTCATTAATTTTACCCAAATATGAATAAAGAACTTTATCAGCAATTATTAAGGTCAAAAGAATGGCCAGTACTCTCGTGGGCAGGGATCTAGAAGATTCAGGTTTTAAGCCTGAAAGTTCGTCCTGAAATCTCTTATTTGCCCATTGGTTTCAGAGAGCTTGGAGACAGGAGACTGATGAGAATGCTTAGGTAGCGAGGTGGAGAAAAATCCTTTTATATACAAGTACATTTTTGTACTTGTATATAAAAATCCTGAGCCCAGGATTCCAGTTTGAATAATAATAGATTATGGACGTCAAGGGGAAAAGCTGAGCGACTAAAATGATGACCCATTTCTTCCTTACCTAAAATTTCACACTTTTTAAATCTGCTTTGACCATTGCTGCCAGAAGAAAACCTTTGGTTTCTTGTTAAAAATATTTATCCTCCCCTTGAGAATGCCAGTCTTATAGAATAAAAAGATCTTGTAAGGACTTTACTTGTATTGCTACATACCATTATTGTTCCTGTTACACGGATAAGAAAATTGAGGGATAGAAAACTAAACTACTTATCTAAAATCAAATGAAGTAGGAGGTGTCTATCTCACAGTGTTAGGTATTAACCTTTATATTACAGGCAAGATTTATAGAGAAGAGCCCCGAGGGTCGTCCTGCTGGCTGGTTCTCTCCAGGGACGGACCTCACGTTTCCTAACTGGCCTTAGCATCCACTGCTCTACCAGTTATCATTATTCCTGCTACATACTGAATACTTTCTCTTTCCGTCTTTACTTTTGGTATTCATCCTCCAATACTATCTCTCAATTTGCGTCTTCCTGTGATCTCACCACATAGTCACTCTAACCCCCAGAATTTATACACTGCACCTCTTTTAGAAAGTCTCCCAAGGTGATATTTTTCTTATGGTTGTATTTCTATCACATCCATTGGGCACACTATAAATGTTGTGCCTAGTTTTTATATTAAGTTGCTTTTTTGTGTGTGGCCGGGGCTGGGTTCGAACCCTCAAGCATATGGGGCCAGCACCCTACTCCTTGAGCTATAGGTGCCACCCATTAAGTTGCTTTTCTTTCTTAACTTCCCATAAAGGCTTTCTATCCCAGTTCACTGAGTTTGTGAAGGTCACATCCCATAGAGCTAAGCACGGTAGATGCTTTGTGAACATAAGTTAATTTTTCATATTGACTTTACAATTCCTAAGAAAGTAACACTAAACTACTTCAGCAAGATTCTGATCTACATGAATACAAAGTGCTTTGAAGTTAGTTCTATCTATAACTCTTTGGGAGATACTTTAGTCTTAAAATTCATCAGTGACAAGTTTCATTTTCTCATTAAGAATAATGAAGAATCAGATGAAGACGCCCCTGGTTTCTTGTGAATTAGAAGTTTCACATTTGAGCTTTTCCTTTTTTTGTGTTTTGTGCAGTAGTATCAATTGGGAGCAGCTGTTAACTCAACTAAGTTGTTTTTTTAGACTATTGCTGGCATCTAACCTGTAATTTGTTTCCTAGTGGTTTTCTATAGGGAAGTTAGTTATACTGTGAAGATGGTAAGCACCTTTATAGTTCATTATTATATGTCATAATCAAGAAAAAAGTATAAGAGAAATTGTGAAAGTTAGGATGCTATTTATTTCGATCTGTTTTAGGTGAGAGAGGTCTGTTAGCTACTGTGGTCTTATTTTTCAATATGTAAAATTATATGTTGTATTATTGGTCTTGAAGACATATTTGGAAATAATTTATTTCAAAATATTACAGCTTATTTCCTTCTGTGTAACATTAGCCAGTTACTCGAAGTGCCTCCTGGCACAAAGTCATCATAGCGTTTGGCTTTTATTGGCCAAACCAGGCTATTCGTATGTTAGCCAATTCTCAAAATCCCCAGGTTGTTTTTAGAAGTTTTTAGAAGTTGTTTTTAGAAGTTTGATTCAAGAGATTTTCAAAGGTACTTCTACAAGTCACACAAAGTGAATTTCTTAGGTTTTTCTTCATAAATAGCCCAGAAATGCTTATGAATATTTTAAACTGCATTATAATGACAGACTCTATGAAATCACTTATTTATGCTCTGTGGACAATGAATTCCGTATCCCTTTTCATTCTTTTCTCTTATAACCAAGAAGAATTATTTTCTTTCCTACCTCAAATTAATTTTAGGGACTTTTGATAAGTATTTGAAAAATATATACTTATGATGATTAATCATGATATTTGAAACAAATATCTGCTAAAGGAGTCTTATTCTCTCCTCTTTTGTTTTCTGAACAGTCTGCCAAATGAACTTAAGAGGGACAAAGATGACAGAAATAGATTTGGGAAATGAACTTGATTCACTGTTGGTAAATATACAGCAAATTTGCGAAGGGACTTTTAGGGACTTTTGAGAAGTATTTGAAAAATATGTACTTATGATGATTTGATAAAGGTAGAGTGGAGAAACTATATGATCAGAAGATTCTAATTTTCTTATGTTGTTAGATAAAACAAAAGAAAAGCATTCCTTCAATGTTCCATAGAAATCTTGGAAAAAATACTGTGCCACTGAAATAGTCTTTTTATTTTTTCCTCAAAGAATTTTATTTTTAAAAAGGGAACTGCAGAGATTTAACATTTTCATATAAATAATGAGTTTGTGCAGGATGTAGTATTTTCTATTAGTTTGGCAATTTCTAATGTGCAGTCAATAAAATCAAGAATCAAAACGAATCTCAACAACCTCAAAACTCTATTACAGATTTAAATCACTGTAGTTTATTTAACATTCTATCACATCTATATTTTGTCTACCAGGTAATAAAATTTGTAGTGATAACTTGGATTGACAGAGTGCCTGCATTTTTCCCCCCTAGATGCAATTCAGGAATCCTTGAAGCAGTTATTTAACTATTTCTACCCTCCCTGTGTCTGCTGTAGAGATAGTGGATTACAATTACACTCTCAAATGGATTTGATAATAAATGAAATAGTCTTATGCCTCTAAGCCATTCATAATGTATGGAGGGGACAAATTTGAACACAGCTACATTATATTAAATCGTTGCTTTTATTTGCTTAAGTGCTAAAATTAAAGAATTGTTTTCCTCTGAACGTGTTGCTGGGTGATCATCAGATCATATTCCAAACAAATCCCATTCTCAGTAAGTTTGAATCCCAAATTTTAGCGTTTCCCCTGAACTTTCTTTTCTTCTCATAACCTTTTCTTACTTAAACATTACCATCCGTCCATGAATTAGTTACCCAGATTTAAAACCCTATTGTAATATTGACCTTCTTACTTTATCAAATCCTTTTTAAGTCATAGGTTATTAAGTTCTGTTGATTGTACATAAAATTGATTGTCACGGCCCTCGTTCTGCCTTTGTTTACTCTTGTTTGACATATTCTATTGCAACAATATTTTACTGGTTTACTTGCTCCTATTTTCGTATTTATTCACAAACTAACTCTTGCACAACCATTTCTTTTTACATTTGCGTCTATAGCTGCATGTCAATCCCCGTAATAAGAACTAATGGAGAAAGAAACATGTTCTAGTAATATATTCTCAATATTTGTTTACAAATTTGTTTCTCTGTCAAACTCTTCCATAGAAAGAAAATAGTTTATGATGCATCTTAAAGAATGTATCCTTATATTTGTCTTTGATTCCTCTATACAGCCTATCATGGCCTAATACAACTATTATTTTTGAACAGTCAATAATATACAGTAAATTTT